CGACTAAGTTCGTAATATGTTTTGGGACATGTTGGTATATTTGGTTAAGGTTCCGGGGGTCTCGGGTGGATTCCGGGTGGTTAACAGATCGAATTTGGAGTTGAAGAAAGAGTTGAAGCAGCTGGTGTCTGGTACAATCGCACCTGCGATAAAGGGCCGCAGGTGCGAGCCCGCAGGTGCGGCATTATGGTCGCAGAAGCGGTCTTGGATCACCTGGGAAAAAGGGCCGCAGATGCAGAGTTGGGGGCGCTGATGCGCATCCCCAAGAGCGGTCAAGGCTCCGCAGAAGCGTGACCGCAGGAGCGGGTGTTTGTCTGCAGAAGCAGACTTGGCTGGGTGTGATGGAAAGCTGCACCTGCGATGCGGAATGTCCGCAGGTGCGGAGCCGCAAAAGCGGCTAGTGGACCACAAATGCGAAAGTCTTCTGGGCAGAAGGGTTCTTTTAAAATCGGGTTTTGGCCCATTTTCTCTCATTTTTTATTTGGTTGGGGCGATTTTGGAGAGCTCCAAGGGAAGATTTTCATCAAGCATCGCAAGGTAAGTGATTTCCACTTATTATAAGTTAAATACATGGATTTTACGAGGATTTAAGCATGAAAATTAGTAAAAATTATGGGATTTAGGTAGAAAACCTAAAATTTAGTATTTTGGATTTTGACCACGAATTTGGACATGGAATGGAAAATTAATTATATATTTGAGTTCGTAGTGTCATGGATAATGTTTATCTTTGAAAATTTTTGGAATCCGGGCACGTGAGCCCGAGGGTGATTTTTATCGACTTTTCAAGTGGAGTTAGGAATTTGTTATAAATTGGATTGTAATTAGTATTAGAGTATATATTTATGGATTTGCAAGTTTATTGACTAGTTTTGGAGCGATGGGCATCGGTGTGAGTCATTGGAAGGGTTTTTGTGCAGGTTATGGAATCTCGGAGTGAGGTAAGTCTCGTTTCTAACCTTGTAAGAGGGAATTGAATTAATTTAATATGTGCTTCTATTTGTGGGGGCTACGTACGCACGAGGTGACGATAGTCTGTGCGTAGCTACTATTATGCTCATGTCCGGGCAGTGCACAATTTAAATATTTATGTTGGAGTGGACCGTACGACCTCGACATAATTTGCGCATGATTTAATTGATTGCTTTGAAATTTACAATAAATAATATTACCTCCTTGCCTGAGATAAATTGTTAAATAATGGAAAAGAAATTTGGAGAGTTCTTAATTATAAAAGAACTGCTTACTTACTTCAAAATATTGGGCTTGCAACCGTATTATTTAATCCAGGCCTAATTTAATTATATTATTTTATTTATTTATAGCCCATAGTAAGTGTCGAAGTCGACCCCTCGTCACTACTTCTTTGAGGTTAGGCGGGATACTTACTGGGTACGCATTTATTTACATACTCATACTACACTTGCTGCACATTTTTGTACAGGTGCATATATGTCTAGTGGCCTTGTGAGTGCCGAGCTGCGGTTATTGCGGGAACTTAGGTGAGATACATTTCACGTTACGAGTCCGCAGCCAGCAGAGTCTCCCTCAGAGTATTTATATTTTTCTGTCCAATTTGTATTCCGTACAGATGTTGATTTTATTTTATATTCTTAGTTGAGGTTCATGCACTTGTGACACCGGATTTTGGGGCGATTATGGGTTGCACTGTATTGAAATTGTTAAAAATATTATTATTTATTTTGTAAATTTCATATTTTATCATTTAATTGAAGGAAATATGATTTCAAAAATATTAAAATGAGAAACAAGTTAAGTATTTATTTTTGGCTTACCTGACAACGGTATCCGACGCCATCACGACCTTTAATGGATTTTGTGTCGTGACAAGCGGAACCCCCTTTGCCGAAAATTACACCGTATAAGATTTTTAAAAATTCAATATATATTATAAGGTATTGAATCTCCTTAACATTTTTAGGTATTTACTTTTTTTAAATTTTTTAAATCCCATTAATAAAAATCTTGCTTCCACCACTAACTTTGCATAAACGTTTGATGCAGCAATGAATTGAAGCAACAATGCTGAGGCCAAGGGAGTCATGTTACACGGCCACCATTTACTGCAAAAGTTTGGTAGAATCATCGGACTTGGCAAAGATATATGGTAACTATTGTTCAACCTGTTATGGCCTTTGTGTCTAACGCTTGTTTTTTAGATTATACTCTTTCGTTTCAATTTATGTGAACCTATTTAATTGGGCATGATGTTTAAAAAAAAACTTTTGAATTTGTTATAAAATAAGGTACAAATATGTTATCTGACGATAAATCATTGTATAAATGTAAATTGTTTCTAAATACGAAAACGGATCATTCTTTTTTGGTACGGTTTAAAAAAAATATATATTTATGTATATTGAAACGGAGGAGTATATGACAGTCCTATTCCGAATTTAGTCAAATTTCAATAGAAATACTAAATATAGAGTGAAAACCCTTTTAAAAAAAAAAGAAACTAGCCTCTATTCATTTTTCACTAGTTACATTTTTAGTTTGTGTCTTGTTTTGTTTTGTCCTTGCTGTTGCAACTTGCAATAAAGTCTAGGTCGACGTCTTGTCTTGTTGTGGTACTGCATGTACTTTTAATTCGTGAAAAGAATAGTGTTTATTTACCAAGTTGACTATTCATGTTTTGCCAGCGTATTGTGTTTAATAAAAGAGTGACTTGACACCTCTCTTTGACCAAGGATCCTATTTTGTTTTTCTTTCTTTTTTTGTATTTTCTTTTCATTCTTTTCATTTAAATTGTTTTGTAATTGGAAATTGACTCTATCCTATTTATTACATCTCATTATATTTATTTAAGTTTCAAAAGAAAATATTAACGGCCAAATTTCTCATTTCTCTCACCTAGCCGTTACTATTTACACATATAACTTCCCTTCGTCCATAAAGACTTCCATTACTGGTTCATATAAGATCTCAAAGAATTCCTAAGAATTTACTTGATTTAACCATTCTGACCATTAGTAATAAACACATTTATTAATAATTACTAATACACTTAATACTTATTCTATTACAATTACTTAATATACGTTACACTTTCTTTTCCTATTACTCAATGTAAGTTACTACTTGTATTTTGGATACTATAAATACTAAAGCACATCTTCTCTTTTTCGACACTTTTGTGTCTTCTTCTTCATTGACCATTCTTCTCTGTTTCACTAGAAATCCTTTGTATAGAATTTTTTTTTTTTCACTTTTTCTTCTCATTGTTGGTGTTTTTGCCACACACACACACACACACACATATATATATAGTTACTCTTTTAGTATGTTGCAGGCTTGTAGTTATAGTGTGAATTACATGTAATAAGTAATAAGTTTTCCTTTATATCCTGCATTAGAATGCTCTAATTTTTAAAAAACAATAGGAATGATTGGGATAAATTTTACATTGAATTTTAATTTTTGAGAAAGTATGAGTACATGCTCAAAACAAATGATAATTTGAGATAATAAGATTATTTTTCTCATCTGAAAATAATTGATATAATTTGTGTCCTGGTACCTTTTAGTGGCCTTTTAACAGTTTTAAAGAGACAATCTCGCCAATTTCTTTATATCTATTACGCTTCTCTGTGTGGTTTACAACTATATATATCTTAAGCAGTATTTTTCTTGACTCCTTTTTGGCTACTATTTTTCAAGTTAAAAAGTTTTTTTTCAACTTCCCAAAAGTTGATTTATGACAGTTTTTGGATGAAATTTTTTCTTTCACACACAAAACTTTAACATTTTTTTCAAATAACATACATGTCCAAACACAATTTCAACTTTCAAATATTATTTTTCAACATAATTTCAATTTATTTTTTTTCAAGTTTTAATTAAATATATGTTCAACTATGTATTCAGTTCTGCTTATGTTTTATCATGCATTTTCATAAGTGAATTTCATACTTTTCTTCATGCAAACATTTATACTATAAAAGATATATTATTCCTAAATACAACATGTGATACGAGATCATTACATTGTAAGTGTACCTTATTATGGACTTCACCAAAAATAATTAAGGAAGTAATGATATGCAATAAATAAATAAAGTTGAAAAAATTAAACTTGACTCAAGACACATTATGGGAAACGCGTTTCTTTCACGATCTATCTTATCCTTTCATCGATAGAAGTTAGCAATAGCATTATTCTCATATTGGCGGAATTATTATGGTTGTTTGTCTCCTTATATGGTTACAGACTCTCGAGATAATTCACATTTCAAGACTAGCTATTTTTTAGAGCTGAATTATGTTTAAAATTCATTTCTTCGTTCGAGCATGCGGGGTATTAAGCAGGGGCTGATCAGGAAGAGCATTAGTCGCGGGTTCGAACGAACTCAACTTAAACCTTGTATTTGTATTAGTAAATACATAAAATATCTATAAGTATTTAATTATGAACCTAATAACTAAGATAAACTATGAGTTCGTGATAAATTAAGAATTTATAAACTTTAAATCCTAGCTCTGTATCTGGTGTTAAAGTTTTCCACATTTGTTGAGGGATGAGTTGTTATATGGTCTGGGCAAGAGTTGGAGTCACTCGGCCACCAATTATCTACATTTGGCCCATTGTTTCCCGTTAAAACAATTCGCCCCAAGTTGATCTATTTGTCAAGTGGCTATGTGACGACCTTCTTTTTGTTTTTTCTTAAAAATGCCTTGGATATTCGTAGCCGCTATCGTTCGGGTGCGCACTGGATAACTAGTTCACTATGCAATTGCTTTCAAATCACACAGATATAAACCGCATTAAGCACGTTCGGTGCGACGAGCTCTGATTGAGAAGACTGCTGGTGAGGAGAATCGATCTCAGATCTCCCATGTGGGAAACCACTCACCCAACCAACTCAATCAACGTTGGCAGGCGTGACTTCACAATTGGTCTTTGTGAAGAGTTTCTTTTTGTCATTTTTCTCCCTTGTTTAGAACAAGTTGTTCTGACAAGTTCTATAAATAGAGGAGAAACATTGTTTTCCTTTTTACAGAAAAAAAAATTGAAACTCCAAATAGCTCATCAAAATGTTTTCCAAAACTAACCTTTTTCTTTGCCTTTCTTTGGCTATTTTGCTAATTGTAATATCCTCACAAGCTGATGCAAGGGAGATGTCTAAGGCGGCTGCTCCAATTACCCAAGGTTTATTTACTTCTTCAATCTATTAATACTCCAGTAGTTATTTTCATATTTGACATTTTGAGTCCGCAAAGGATGTTATAAATGTTTAAATATTCATGTAATATTTTTCTTTGAATTTTGTGATCTTAAATATGTCATAATATCTTATACAGAAGTCTCATTAATGAAAAAATCGAAATTTCGGAATTAAAAAATTATTAAATGTTGGTGGCATTCTTTGTTGAAGAGGATTTAAAAGAAAGGCAAAACACATGATTGAAACGAAGGGAGTATATGTTTACATAAGTATTATTTAATAATTTGCTGAAAGTTTAATGGACATTTTGAAATTTTGACATTCTACATCTAAAATATTTACTAATCTTAAGATATCGCAACACCGCAAAAGTTTCTTCTTTTTATCTTTATTGAATTTGGTGATTACCTCTTATAATAATTTAAATTCTATTGCTAGAGGAAGGACAATTCAATTTAATTATTTATATCTCTGCAACATGCATTCTTACATGCGGCCATGATTCTTTCTTCATAGAAAAACACGTGAAAATATTTTTACTTTTGGAGAGAGGTAAGACTAGAACACTCGAAACCTTGTTTCTGCCAATTGTGTGATCAATAACAATAACAACAAATTTAGAATAATTTCACAAGTGGGGTCTCAAAAGAATAATGTTTATGCAAATCTTACCCTTGTCTTGAAAAAGTAGAGAGACTGTTTCTGATAGACCCTCGACTCAAGGAAGGATGAAAAGGCAGTAGAAATAAGCAGTAATACCAACAAGATAATAAGATAATCGAATCGAAAGAACCAGTAGGTAGTGGAAAAAAACTGAAAATAAGAAAATACAAGACTTACTGGTAGTGGAAAAAAACTGAAAATAAGAAAATACAAGACTAACACTGATATTACTAGTAAGGACAAGAGAGATGCGCGACTGCCTACTAACCTTCTACCCTAATTCTCGACCTCCACGCCTTTCTATTAAGGGTTTATGTCTCCGGTAAGCTGAAGTAGTGCCATGTCCTGCCAATTGTGTGATCATTTTATTTAAAATTAGACGAGGAACACGTTCATCCTAGTTTATTTATGTCTGCAACGCTGAGACCTAATACTATCACATCTTAATTTCCTCCTTTATTGGTTAACCTATAACTAATACATTACACTACATAACCTAATTTGATGCAGCATTGAATTCAAACAACATTACTGATCAGAAGACGGGTGCAGGAATCATCCGTAAAATACCGGGTTGGATACGAAAAGGTGCAAAACCAGGAGGCAAAGTCGCCGGCAAAGTTTGTAAAATTTGCTCATGTAAATATCAGATTTGCAGCAAATGTCCTAAATGTCATGACTAAAGTTAGGCCTCGAGATTATGTACTCTTGCTGGTGTGAGTTTAGTTTTGAGAAAAAAGGGAAAGTTATGAATAGCCTAATATAATTCTATTCACTATGTTTTGTTAGTAATTCTTATTGTTGCAACTTGCAACAAGTCTTTGGGTCAAAATGTACCTCTTGTCTTGTAGTCTTTCAATTGTATGGTACTGTAATTGTATGGTACTGTACTGTATTTTTCTTTAGCCACTTGATATCTGAAACCAAATCCGATTAAATCTAATTCGCGTTGCATAGGTTCTACTTTGGTCAGACCTCTCTATAACAGTATCCGTATATAACAGTCTTTCACTATAAAAATCAAGTTTTTCTTGGAACTGATTTTTTATGTTATGTTATAATATATGTTTTTTTTAACAGCACTTCACTATATATAGCAGCCAAAAAATATCGGAACAAACGAGGTTGTTATCGAGTGGTTTGACTGTACAAGAAAACGGGTTCTTATAAAAAGGTTTATCATTTTTCGAGTTCGAACCTAAGATCTTTGATTAAGTTGAGTATAGAAATAACCTTTATCCTTAGTATATATACCGGAATCTTGAACATGGTAATCTTATGTATCAGCAATTATATAATAATTACTTGATCCCGAAGACATTATAGGAGCTTAATTTGGAAGAGCAATTTGCTCCGCAGATAAATTGATTTCTCTTTCTTTGCCCTCTCTTACAATAATGGGGCGGTAGTGGATTATGCCATATTCAATATTTACAGCAAAGATTACATATAGGATACCTCTAACATGAATCCAGCACTCCTTTACAAGCTAATTATTAATTTTGCCTTGAACAGTATAAAGTTTAATCCGAATACTATTCCGTAATCATATATTAGTCTCATAGATATACTATTCCGCAAATTTAACCCCTTTTTATAATGAATATTGTTAATCAGTAACTTATGCAATACCCTTTTACAGTCACAGATTTCTCTCCTAGTAGGGTTAAAAGAAACAAGGAGGAGAAATGACAATGAAAAGATGAGAGAAAGCACAGTCACCTGCTTTTTGCGGATGATACTATTCGCTGGTGCTGACCTACACAATGCCAACACTATCATTAATATATTCAACTCTCTCCACCTCCAATCAAGGCAAAAAATTAATTTCTCTAAATCAAAACTTTTTTTCTCCAAAAATGTGCCGCTCGCCACTCAAGAGTGCCTTACCAGTGCCCTAAACATCCGCAAGGCTACCAACTTTAGTAAATACATGTGATTCCACCTAACTAACAATTCCCCCAAAGGCAAAGACTATCAATTCATAATTAATAAAATGAATAACAAGCTCACAGGATGGAAAGCAAAAACTCTCAACATGGCAGGTAGAACCACCCTCATACACTCTATACTAGCCACCATTCCAAACTATTCCATNCGCAAACACTCTCAACATGGGAGGTAGAACCACACCTCATACACTCTGTACTAACCACCATTCTAAACTATTCCATGCAAAATAACCTACTGCCAACCTCTACTAGGAACCACATAGTTCGTATCCAACGAAACTTCCCATGGGGTTCAACTAAAGAAAAAAGAAAAGTCCACCTTGTTAATTGGGAGACTATATAACCACTCCAAAAGAGCTCGGAGGACTTGGGCTTTATAAAATTAGTGAAAAGAATTATGCAACGCTAGCAGGACTACTTTGGCGATTCCATTAGAACAATCAATCACTCTGGGTAAAACTTCTACAAGCAAAATATGTCCAACATAGACGAGTAGACACACTCGACGCAAAACCTGCTCTTTCATACATTTAGAATAGCATGTCAAAAGCAAATTCTCTATTCAACATAGGAGATTGGAAAAAAACAAACCTCTGGCATGACAACTGGATCCCTAATAATACCTGTTTAAGATATTCAATTCCGGAACCTCTACAATACATGGAGGAACAACAAAAAGTGTCTTCAATCATTACAAATCATTCATGGAATTATGATACATTATCTCTACCACTACACCATGATACCATACACAAAATCAACAAGATCTACATCCCTTTCTCACAAAAACCTGATCAATCCCTCTGGACCCAAACACCCCTTAGAAACTTTACCACAAAGTCAGCCTATCTACAACAACTACAAATCAATAACCTAATAAAACCACCAAACACCTTTATTAACACTTGGATCTGGCAACTCAAGTGTTTGAACAAGCTGAAATACTTCATGTGGTTACTTGTGCACCACAAGTAACCTACCAAAGAATTCCTATTCAAAAAAAATATACTCCAAAATAACCTTTGCCAATTCTGTCCAACAGAAGTAGAAGACATATATCACATCTTCTTCGCGTGCAAAAATTCATACCACTTATGAACTTTATTCAATCTCCAAAAATCACAAACGCACAAATTTGTCCACTGGTTAAAGGATACGTGTATCAAAGACACTACCATCAACACAACAAATGCCTCCATCAAAACCCCAAACTCCACCTTAATACCTTTCATACTGTGGAACACTTGGCTTAATAGGAACTCTAACCTATTTAACCACACAACCTCAATCGCTTTCCAAACCAAAATTAAGACCCAAGTTGCTGAATTCATCTCAATCGCACAAATCACTGCGAACCCAAAACCTAAGCTTCACATACCAATAAGATGGCACTCACCTACTAACCATTACAAGCTAAACATTGATAGAGCTTATGATCAAAATAATCAAAATAGTGGCACTGGTGGAATCATCAGAGACCATAATGGTAATTGGATAGTGGGATTCGCGCACAAGGCAGCTATAACAGACGCTCTCCATGCTGAACTGCTAGCACTAATGACTGGACTAGAACTATCCTTCACAAAAAATTGCTTTCCCACTGTAGTGGAAACAGATTCACAGGTATTATGTAACTTATTTAAAGACGAACAACTTCGCTACTCACATCTTCTTTATGACTGCAGTTTTCTTCTTGATGCTATTGGAGTGGCAGAAATGACACATGTATACCGGGAAGGCAACACTGTAGCAGATACCTTGGCCAAGTATGGAAGCACCACACAACATATATCAACGGAGGAAGATAACATTATGTACTTGGAAACACCTCTGACTTTTATTTTACCAGTTTTTATTAAAGGTAAATTAGGAAAAACTGCAATGCGGTCTATCCCTATGCTATGTAATAACTAAATTGTTCCTGTGCTTTTAAAATAATAGACTGTCCTTTATTCAGCAAAAAATAAAGATGAGAGATAGCAATGGCAAAGCGAGAAATTTCGTCAAGAATGTTAAGGAGTGTTCCACATTCAATATAATATATACAAAGTAATATTTGACCTATATACACAGTACAATTCTCAAGCGAAAGGTGTTTAACTGGCATCCCTTGACCTATATAGCTTCACCCTTCAGATGAGTTAGGTTCTTTACGCAAAGAAGCCAGGCGAAAAGCGCACACGAAGATTATAAATAATATGTTAAAATCGAATCATCGACCTATTTGATCAGACCGCTCTGAGAAAGATAAAAAGCAAACTCTCATAGTTCGCGATTGAGAGAAGAGCAGTACGTAGGACTTAAAAAGAGGGTTCCTTCCTCTCTTCACTCTCCGAATTTCGATCCTCACCTTTCTGGTGCCAAAGGCCTACCCTTCCATACCCTGTCTCCACATTGGATCAAGAACAGGATAATTGTTTCGTAAAATCTCGTCTAATACTAATATCTAATCACTAACAAATGAAAAAGTGCAACCAATTTACAAGGAGTTGTTAGTGTATTTTAAATTCCCTAATACATGAGCGGAACTAGGTGGCGGGAATGAGGTTCAGCGGAACCCCCTTCGCCGAAAATGACATCGTATAAGATTAAAAAAACTTCAATATATATTATAAGGTATTGAATCTCCTCAACATTTTTAGGTATTTATTTTTTTAAAAATTTTTGATTCCCCTTGGTAAAAATCTTGCTTCCACCACTGACTAACGCGATACTCTACATAAACTTTTGATGCAGCAATGAATTGAAGCAACAATATTGAGGCCAAGGGAGTCATGTTACATGGCCACCATTTACTGCGAAATTTTGGTAGAATCATCGGACTTGGCAAAGATATATGGTAACTATTGTTCAACCTGTTATGGCCTTTGTGTCTAACGCTTGGTCTTTAGATTATACTCCTTCCGTTTCAATTTATGCGAACCTTTTAATTGGGCATGATATTTTAAAAAAAACTTTTGAATTTGGTGTAAAATGAGACACATATATTTTGTCTAATTATAAATCATTGTATAAAAGTAAATTATTTCTAAATACGAAAACGGATCATTCTTTTTGGTACGGATTAAAAAGAAAATAGATTTACGTAAATTGAAACGGGGGAGCATATGACAGTCCTATTCCGAATTTAGTCAAATTTCAATACAAATACTAAATATCGAGTGAAAAACCTTTTTTTTATTTAAAAACTAGCCTCTGTTATAAGAAAAATCAAATTATGGTGGATGTCTACTATTCCTCCATGATATTCTCAAATACTTAATGACATATTCAATGACATATTTCTATGCTTAATGACATATTCAATAACATATTTTTCTTCACTTTTCATGCCTATATAAAGGCCTTGTAATAGATAAAAAAAATACACATAATTGAAGAAGAAAATCTCTTCCTTCTCTCTATCTCCATTTCTTGTTCATGTTTTACTAAATTGCTTTTATTTCATAACAACATGTCTTGTTCATGTTTTACTAAGTTATTTTTATTTTATAACACGTTATCAGCACGATGCCTAATCAATTGAGTTACTTATATCTACAAAATTGTCCTACATCATAAAAGGCATGTTCCTGCCGTGCCTAATATTCATCTTGAAGAGATAAGCTTTTCTTTCTCATTTAGCAATTTCAAAGAATGGTATCAAACATAACTGGAGTAACAATAAGGTTGAGGAGACCAGTACACTGTGATAAGGCATATAATGCTAATGCTAAGATATGTTTTCTAATCCTTTTTAATTAATTCATTTTCTTATTCATTTTTCTCATAGGTTCTTTATTTGTTATGAAAGTTTCCAATGCTAAGTATTTTCTTCTTACAAATCCATTCATATTCTTAAGTGTTTTACTTTATAAAGGAAAATACTTAAATGTAAACTAATTACTACTCCATATTTTACTTATTTTATTTTGTTGCATTATCAATATCCAT